CCATGCTGCTGTGGGAGACCTGAAATCATGCAGCTGGAATCCAAACCCTGGGGCTGATCATAAACCCCTGCCCCAAATCTCCAGAGAGTCAGTTTGGTGCCACCAAAGGAGACCTGTCTGCTTGTGCTGGGACAATGCTCCAGGCATTAAGATGCCGGGCAACTGTACATTCAATTTTGGAGACCCAGACTTTGATTAAATCCAGGATTTACAAAATAAAATCAAAAAGAATGGGAATCTAAGGGGAAAGGCACAAGCAAGGAGAACTGTCAGCAACCTGTGACCCAGCAGAATCGGACTTTCCAGCCCCTCTCTCAGAGGTTCAGCAGGGCTAACTTCATTAAAAGAACTAAAAGACACAGGCCTCGATAGAGAAGCATCTCCATCTGCTCTGAGAGCTGTGCTCCTCTGGAGCTCTGCAAATGCTAACGGATACGTACTGCGATCTACACTTCCATCAGCCAGAGTACTTTCTGAGGACCTTGGCTGTCCGGCGGCATTGTCCCACAGAGGTTTAACAGATGCTCCTTCTGCACCCCAAACGCATGCAGAACTGGCTAGTGTTACACTTCATCTACTAGGTGTAATTTTCCAATTTCAAAGCTTATACTTTTAGGAAATATGAATGCATGTTGAATTTCTCCTTCATTTCACCTTCCTGAGGGCCACCGATGGTGCTTGACATGTGCCTCCGCTCTGTGTGTATGTGTGCGTGTGCTGGAGTGTTACCAATGTGGATGGAAGAGGCAAACCAGCCTTGTTCTCGGTGGCTTTCTGTCACAGACTGGGCTGCAGGCATCCAGGCCCCCCACACTGGTGCCTGGTGCACTAGCCTGCAAATCGCTGCAGGAGCAGGGGTTGCTCTGCTCCTGCTGAACCCCAGTGCTGCCTCTCAGTACTCCCACTCACCTGACATTGGGGATTATTTTTTTCTTTGGTCAGTTTTAGTTTTATAAAGAATGTGTGAGACATTTTCTTCTTTTGAGCCAAGAGGCTATCTTCAATACAGAGAGCCAAGATATTTCTACGTTCCAACTCCATTGCAGCAACATGGCCATATTGACTCCAGTTGGCGACGACAGCATTGCTTAATGGCTCCAGTGCAAACAGAGGCCCGGGCACAGACTTTAGAGTTGGTTGCAACAGTGGAGTCGCCTTTTCATTCTGGAAGTGATGAATGGTTTAGGCACAGTAGGCAGGAAAATAAAACCTGTCACTGGAAGACAGATGAGGGCAGCATTTCCCTGTAATGTCAGCACATGCCTGTTCCTCTTTGAATAGGTTTTCATCCTATGTTGGCTGCTAGTGTGTAAGCTCCTTCCAGAGGAGCCTTGCCAAGTGTTCTGGTTCTTCATATGAAATTTGGGGGCCACGTTGCTTGTGAGGTCTGCAGAAAGTATAGAAAAAACAGAGGTAGTCTTTGCAACTCTGAGAACTCATTTATGTTAAAGAGGTTTGCTCCCCTTTTGTAATGGTTTCTTGAGCATTGCTTGGTTTTACTTTGTTGATTTTTTTGTTTGTTTTGTTTTGTTTTTTAGTAATTGTGTACAGTGAATGGTGTATTAGCTGTTTCCCTGGGTTTTTAAAGGGAGGAATGGCCACAGTAGCCAATGGGCAACTGTGTTGAGGAAACGAAGGTGCCACAGAAGCGGGCAAAGGTCCTGCTCTTGTGTTTTTCCGTGTTGATGCTGTTGCCTCTTCCTCTGTTCATGTCTTCCTTGTGTCATGACCAGGCCCAGGATGATGTTTAACTGCCAGGACAGTCTGGGAAGTCTCCAGCTGGTACTGTTGGTCCTGGAAGGCTTTCCCAAAAGAGCCAACTCTGGCCCTTGCACTTATCACCAGTGTATGCAGACCATGTGGCAGATCCCCTATTATTCCTGGGATGTTTAGAGTTCAGTTCACTCCCCTGGGCCAGATAGCAGGCACAGCGTTCCCACAGCTGGGGTTACTCAGTAAGATGAAGCCAGCAGTGGCTAAAACCCTCTCTCATCTCGCTGCAGTGGTGCAATGGATGAGTTCATATTTTACTGATTCTCTGGTCCTGCTTAGCATGCAACAGCACCGAGCCGGCACTCCTCCCGCTCATCCGGAGTGCTAAGATTCATTAGCCTGCGTCTATCAGCTCTTGCCAGGGAAATGGTGAATAATGAGGCCTGGTTCAGGTAATGAAATGATCTCCCTCTCCCATCTGATCACATTGCTGCTTATTATTTCCTCGGCGTGTTATTTTGCTTCCCTGGAAACTTGTTTTGTAAACACTGACTGTGCAGTTATGGTTGAAAGTCAAACTTCCCAGCAGTGCCGCAGGAGCCTGGTGAGCCGTGTGGCCTGGCTGTTTGTGCTACCACATGTGCTTCATCAGCTAATGTGAGGATGGAGACAGCCCTGCTCCTTTGCTGGAAGGTACAAGGAACAGCACCAGGAAAGGTGCAGCCCTTGGCATCCATCATGAGCACCTTATACCCATTGTTCAGGTATCAGTGCTGTGATTTAGCCTGCCTAACTGCCCTTCTTCTCTGGCATTGAGTTTCTCAGGGAGATCTCTACCAAGATTCCTCTCCATTTGTAATTTGTTAGCCAAGGAAAAGGCACATTCCCCTCATTTCTTCCTTTATTCCTTTTCTTCTAGAGTAACTTGCTTGAGGAACCAGAGCAGTGCAGGCTATTCCAGACATCTCATATGAGGACACGAAAACTGTTTCCTTTCTGCTGGAATGACTTTGCTTGTACATCGTAGTATTTCATCTGCTTTTTCCATGGCAGCATCCACTTGGCAGCCTGCAGTCACCCTAAGTTAAACAAATGTATCCAGAAATCCTCATCCTTAGGACCAAAATGTTGACCTTGCACTGTGTGTTCTTTGTCCCATTTCTACAACACAGGCCCTTGAGGTCATCCAGTTTTCCTAGATGATCTTCTCGCCAATCTCCGTGTGAATTTGGTGACACACCATCCCCACTTTAGCCACTTCCTTCTCCAACTTACCTCTTTTTTAAGAATCTCCAGTTCTCCAAGCATAGTATTTGTACCCGTGAGAGATGTTTTACTGAAGTCTAAGCAAATGAGAGCTGCCCACCTAATGTGGGTAGCACACTAGAAACATGTCGTGTATCTATGATAAGCTGTATTCTTGAATAAATTCCTCTTTCAGTAAGACAGCGCATTGGAATGGCTTTGTGTATGTGCTTCCATGACATACATAGTGCAGAAAATGCAGGACAGCTTTGTGTTATTGTTGAAGAAGTAAAGTCCTATTTATGTAGGATGTAATTTCTTTTTCTGCAGCTCCTCGTCCCCCTGTAATCATTATATGTCTTCCCAGGATGAGTGTCTCATTTTCCTCCTTCTCGTTATCTCTTTACCATACTATATAGGCACACCAGTAACTGCTTGGGATTCCCTTGTGCAAGGCACTGTACAAACAAGGAGGAAAGGAATCACCAGCCCAAGTCTAAGCCCTACAGTAGCATGCATGAGCTGGTCCCTAAGAGTGCAGGCAGATGTAGCCAGTGGTTTGAAGAAGGCACCATCAGTGAGATGGAGGCGTATGGTTGAAGGGTGCTGTCCCATGGAGTGAGGCTGCTCCTGTGGCCTGGCAAGAAGCTGGTGTTGATGTTCGTGACAACGGGTATTTTGCATGGAGTAGCTCTCCCTCTTGTTCATGGAGTGAGGCTTGAGCAAACTGGGCAACAAAAGGAAATGGCCATAGCTGGTTCCTATACGAGGTGGAGTTTGAGATGTTAAGGTTGGAGAGAGGGAGAAGGCCAAGGCTGGTGGGGCAAAAAAAGACAGGAAGAAAAGCTTCTGGCAGAGGAAGATGTAGGCATTTATAGAAGTGGCTTGGAGGTCATCTGAGTGTCTTTGACCAATATGACTGACACAGGCTCCAAGGCTCATGCTCATCTCAGCTTTGCACGTACAAATGCTAAGCCTGGAACTTCATTAGAGAGGTGGAGAATGGAGATAGTGTTAGTCAAACAAGTTACACTTCTTATCTTTCTTCCACAATTAAGCTTGAACTTTGTCTCTTCCTCAGCATCCTTTACTGAAATTGGAATATCTGTTGTGATTGTATATGGCTTAGGTTTTGTATATATTGGTTAAATGGTGTCTGGGTTACATATCAGTCGATATAGAGAAAAGGAAATAGCCAACACACACATAAACACCTTATCTACTACATCTGAGCTGTGCTCTATGCCTGCCATTAACACAAGAATGAACAGGATTTGGCCCTGAGTGCATCAGTCTGAGAAGAAGTGCCCAACATTGCAAGGATAAGAATCTCCAAATGATCCTTATCTAGGAAGATTCATCTTTGCCATTAAGAAGCATGAGAACCCACTCCTACCTCTCCTGATGGTAATGGAAATGCCTACAAACAAGGGACACTGCTGTAGCCAAGCGGACCCATAATCCACACTTTCTTCATTCCCTTCATCAGCTCCAGGTTTTTAGCTAAGGTGCAATAAAATATTTGTTGGACACAGGAATGCAGTTATGAATTCTCTTAATAGGAGCCAAATTCAGTGGAGCTTCTAACCTGGACCTAGAGTTGCTAATCTCTACAAACAAATACTAAAAAGGGACTTGGGATGAGTCTGATGTGCCCTTGGTACAAAGTGCAGGCTTATAACAGCTGGTGTCGGAAGGACAAAGCTCATGGCAGCAAAACAAGTTAGTCATTGCTCTGGCAAAGCCCCGGCATGACCTTTCCCAGGGTTTGGGATGATCATATAGAGGCATACAGAGGCAATGAAATGGCATGTCACCTCAAGCACAGGGTGATGTTGCACATGTAGCAGCTGCCTATTGACAGGCAGAAACATGGGTTGGCTGCTTAAGCCCAGCTTCATCACAGAGAGGCTGATGAGCAGCACACGTGGCTCTGCCCACCATGTCTAGCTGCCCTGCCCATCAATGCCAAGGACAAATGAGGATATGACTGCCCTGCTCGCCTATGGGGCAATCTTCAGCCTCCCTCCTTCTCTTCCAAGGACTTCAGTTTGTCAAACGAAAAAGATGCCCACACCAGTGACAGTGATGAGAACTTGGAGCGTGGCAACTGGTCAAGCAAAGGCGACTACCTGCTCTCCATGGTGGGCTACGCTGTGGGCCTGGGCAACGTCTGGCGGTTTCCCTACCTCACCTACCAGAATGGCGGAGGTACCTGTATTGAATGGCAGCGTCGGGTGGGCACATCTTGCTATCCCCAAGAGAGAGGAGGGCCAGATCCGAGGGCCAGCCCTGAGGTCAGGCACGTTTTGTCAAAGCTGGATGTGAGCATCACCCTGGGAACTGGGATAGTGCCCGCTGATGGGAATGGGAAGAGGAGGAGGAGGCATCCCTGTGCTTTTTGGGTACCAGATGAAGAGGCAAATAGTATTTAGTTTTAATTGCAAAATTCCACCTGAGATTTCCAGAACTCTTCTGATTTATTTGTGAGCAACATGCATCTTTTTGTCAATGTGCCAATACCCTCTATTTAGCTAAATAGCTGTTCTCCCTCCCCAGTGCTTACCTCCCTGATATGTTTATAGAGAGCAATTGAATCCCCTCTCAACCTTTGTTTTGCCAGGCAAACAAGCTAGGCCGGAATAATTACCCAAGCTCAATAATTATCCCCATAAGATACTTGGGAAGTGCGAGGCAGAGAGAGCCTCTATGTGCTTGCACAATGAACTAGTGGCAAAGCCAAACAGAGGCCACTGGCTTCCCCGGCTGCTATTCCGGAGTTCTGTCTACTTGCCAGGCAACCACTGGTAATTAAAGAGAGCGTAAACGCCAAGTAACTGCGGAGGACTTGCTTGTATGTACTTACTTGCTCTGCCTAACAGTCGTTGGAAGTCAAATTCTGGACTGTTGTCCTGGTTTCAGCTGGGATAGAGTTAACTGTCTTCCTAGTAGCTGGTACAGTGCTATGTTTTGAGTTCAGTATGCGAAGAATGTTGATAACACTGATGTTTTCAGTTGTTGCTCAGTAGTGTTTAGACTATAGTCAAGGATTTTTCAGCTTCTCATGCCCAGCCAGGGCACCTGACCCAAACTGGCCAACAGTGTATTCCATACCATGTGATGTCCCATCTAGTTTAGGAACTGGGAAGTGGGGGGCAGGGATTGGCCGCTCGGGGACTGGCTGGGGGTTGGTTGGCGGGTGGTGGGCCATTGGCCTGCGCATCATTTGTTCATTTCAATCCTTTTATTACTACTGTTGTCATTTTATTAGTGTTATCATTATCATTATTAGTTTCTTCTTTTCTGTTCTATTAAACCGTTCTTATCTCAACCCAGAAGTTTTACTTCTTTTCCTGATTTTCTCCCCCATCCCACTGGATGGGGGGGTAGTGAGTGAGCGGCTGCGTGGTGCTTAGTTGCTGGCTGGGGTTAAACCACGACAACTGTAAATGCAGCACTGCCCATACAACTGCACTGCATGCGCACAAGGTGGCATTCATGGTACAGGAGCTTTACTGGAGCGAGCTTGGCTGGCTTGTATTACTTATGAGTAATGAAGAAAATTGTGAAAACAAAATAACTCGTGATACCAGCCCTTCTACTAGATGTTTCTTTTCTTATGTGCTGCAGCAGAAAGCTTTGCATTTTAAGCATATTCGTGCTGCTGCTTGTATCCTGCTCTGTGCCCCTTGCCCATGATTGATGAAGACAGCTGTTACATCCTTGTTTCGAAACACAGGAGTAATCCAGTTAATTCTGTGGGACTATTTACTTCCTTAAATTACAGCAGGTATTTGCAGTTCCTTGCACAACTGGGTCCTCGATTGCTTGAAGTTCACTGAGGGAGGAGAAGACAGATTTCTGTGGGGACATCAGGTCACGCTTAGGAAACCTGTGCTCTCACTTTCCGTACCTTTTGCGCACACCCAAAGACGTGCCAGTCCCTTTCACAGAACAGGGCTCACATTGATATCAGGCTAATGTGCACTTCAAAATGGCCTCGAACAAGAGCCACGCTGCGATGCTGTTTGACACAGGAGTCAGCCAACCATAGAAAATAATTTTCATGCTTGGACGTCCAGTAGCTACTCTAACAGGGCAGTTGGAAATCACAGCTAAGTACGTGAAGGAATGGATCTGTTCCTTTTTAAACTAAAAGCTGGTAGATGAAATAGAAAGCAGGCAAAGCTGATGGTGCCTACAGCTGAGCAGTGTCCCTGCTTGTATGAGAGCAGTATGTCTTTAAGAGTTTTTGTAAAATCCTTTGAACTCTGTAGAAGAGAAGCCATCCCACGTAAATCACCAGTTCTCCTGGTAATCTGTGTCTCTTCATCGCAGGTACTGTTTAGCCTTAGAGAAAACAGGAATTAGAAACAAATCTCTCTATTCTGCAAAGAGCAAAAAAACCCCCACAGTGGGATATTTGAGGCGGTGGGGGGGGAAAGGGGAGTATAAAATGCGATGGAACTGTGGTGAATACTGAAAGATTCATTGTTTTCCCTGTGTGTGTGTTTGTGGGTTTTCTTCCCTCTCTCCCCTCAGGTGCTTTTCTAATCCCATACACCCTGACGTTGGCCTTAGCTGGCTTGCCCTTATTTTTCATGGAATGTTCCCTTGGGCAGTTTGCCAGTCTAGGGCCAATTTCCGTCTGGAGAATATTACCGTTGTTTCAAGGTTGGTATTATTATGTTTCCTCAGATCTTTTTTATGCTACTAATAAGCAGATGTGAAATAATGATTTCTTCACAAAGTTACTAATTCTGAGAAGCCGGTTTCTGTGTAGAGAATATTCCCAAGCTTACAAGGTCAGTATTATGTTCCCAGGTAGATCTGGGATCATATCCCTCATTTCATGTCTTTAACCTTTCCCTGTTCGGTTGCTGTTCACACTTATTTAATTTTTTTTTTTTTTTAATTTTTCCCCAAGTAGCCTTTTAGAAGTCAAGTGAAGGGCATTCTTTTTTTTTTTTTTCAACCCAAGTTTGGGGTAGTTAAGACATTGTGTCTTTCTCTTTCCTAGGAGTGGGCATCACAATGGTCATCATCTCAACATTTGTGGCGATCTACTACAATGTTATCATTGCTTATGCGCTCTACTACTTATTTGCCTCATTTCAAAAAATGCTACTGTGGTTGGACTGCTTTTCCTGGGCAGATGAGTTCTGCAGCAAAACACGACTAGGTACCGTACTTAACAGATAGGTCTTAATATTATTGTTTTGGATAATTGCACTTTGTACTGTTTTCTGGGAGAAATCACAGGAGCAAGACAGCTACCTGTGGCTTGAAAAATCCTTCCTGCTGTTTTGTCTCTGAACACACGGGAGTGATGCTTGTCTGCTTCCCTGGCAGCAGCTCTGGGTGCTTGGGAAATCTGCAGAGAGCTGGGCTGAAACCTCCTTGTTGCATCCTGTTTATTCTCCTTTAAAACCTAGGGTTTCTTCTAGTACGTACAGTCCCCAGAAATACTGCATTCCCATTTCATCAGGCTTCATGGCAAAGCACATACCTTCCTGTCATGAAGCAAGAGTATTGCTGTAGCTTTTATCAGAGGTTCTTTCATTGCCCCTTGCCTCCTCTGTGGCTATGGTAATCCTAAGCACCAGTGAGGCACTGGTTTCACACTTTATTATCTTTTAGAACATATCTCCAAACTATTGTTCTTGATGTTTGGCAGCACATGTACGGCCAAACACTTGTTATCTCACCAGTTTCCGTATCAGACCAGTTTAAGGCAAAAGGTGAAGTTGGTGAGGGAATTAGTAGTTAGTAGCTGGAAGTGTGTTGCCAAGCATTAATGTAATTGTAACGCTCTTAACCATATATCTGAAAATCTCTCCTAAGATTCGTAGGTTTCATAGAATGAAGTTGAGATGCTTTATTTAACAAAAAGTTGATGCTTGCTTATGGGCTAAACAAAAATATTTTATCTCAAAATTTAGACGAGACTAGACTATTTCAGTTGGATGTGACCTACAATGATCATGTAGTCCAACTGCCTGAGCACTTTAGAGCTCACCAAAAGTTAAAGCATGGTATTAAGGGCATTGTCCAAATGTCTCTTAAACACTGACAGGCTTGGGGCATCGACCTCTTCTCTAGGAAGTTTTTTCCAGTCTTTGACCACCCTCTCATTAAAGAAATGTTTCCTAATGTCCAGTCTAGACCTCCCCTAGCGCAGCTTTTTACCGTTCCCACGTGTCCTATCACTGGATCCCAAGGAGAAGAGATCAGCACCTCCCTCTCCACTTCCCCTTCTCAGGAAGCTGTAGAAAGCAATGAGGTCACCCCTCAGCCTCCTTTTGTCCAAACTAGGCAATCCTGAAGTCCTGAGCTGCTCCTCATAGGACATTCCTTCCAGCCCTTTTACCAGCTTTGTTGCCCTCCTCTGGATGCATTCAGGGACCTTCGCATCCTTCTTAAATTGTGGTGCCCTGAGCTGCACATAGTACTCAAGTTGAGGCTGCACCAATGATGAATACAGCAGGATAATCACTTCTGGTTATACTGTGTTTAATGCATACCAGGATGCGGTTTGCCCTCTTGGCTGCCAGAGCACACTGCTGACTCATATTGAGCCTGCTGCCGACCAGCACCTCCTGATCCCTTTCTGCAGGCCTGCTCTCCAGCCATTCCTCTCCCAATTTATACTTGTGATGTTTTGTTTGGTTGGTTGGTTGGGTTTTTTTACATAAAATTATCTCATTCCATTTTATTTAAGATTTTCTTCTCCAGTTAGTAAAAGAAAGATGTGTCACTTTTTATACATATGTACAGGTTCAGTTATAAAAATAGACAGCACATTCAAAGAGAAAAAAAGGCTGGCCATTTGTCTGATTCCCTCTAAATATATATACATGTGAATAGGAGGGGAAGGGGGAATTGTTCATGAGTTTAGTAAACACCACCTCCCCCTCAATTATTCCCTGCAAATCTGTTTAAAAATCAGTCTAACTAAGTTCAGTTGTGCTATTTTCAGGTGTGCAAATTAGAGGCAGAGTCAACAGGAAGCACTCGCTTCATACTGTAAGATGCCAGGATTCAGGGTTGGAAAAAAATTATAATAATAAAAAAAGTAATCTTCTGCTGTCACAGCCCAGACCTGCAACTCAACTTGCTTCTCTCTCAAGGGAAAGTGCCCCATCAGAACAGACTTTTAATTCAATGTGTCAGACAAAAGAAATTCCCCACATCTAAATCTCAGTGCAATGCAGCCAATGCTTACAGCAAAGCAAGGGGCTATGGGGGGGGTTGAGTTGAGAACAGGGAAGGAGCAACCAGGGAATGAGAACACAGATGGGCACTGGCAGCAGTGCCTTCTACCAGCCTTAAGGATTTGCAGTGGATTTGTATGGATTTGTAAGTGCTAGAGGAATCAAATGGCCACACTCTGCCTCCTCCCTGCCACAGCAGACAGTGATGACAACTGTGGTATTGCCTCTGAGCAGCTCTTGCAAACATGCTGGAGTTTCATCCTAGTAAGGCCTGCTCAGAAAGGTCTTGCTCTGGGATCAAGTGTTGGTCTCATTGCATCAGTCCCACTTGCTTTGGTTAAAGACAATTTCAAGGGACTTTATCAGAAGGTTGAAGGGACCGCTGAGTTTGAAATGCCTTGCCCAGGAAATTAGCTTGGAAAGTTAGGTGGACCGGGAAGGGCACCTTTCACAATGGAAGCCTGGATTTTTTTTGTTCTGGCTTATGCCAACATTAGTTCAGTTTTACCAAAAGCAGACATTGAATGCAATATGTACTTTTGGTGGTTTATGTAAGCTTTTGGCGCTAACTAAGGGGCTGCAGCAGAGGCTGAGTTTCTCACAGCAGTGGTTTGTCTGGGTCACAGTGTGAGGAGCACAAGTGGGAGAGCACATGGAAGTTCTCACTCCTGCAACCCTGTCCTGGTTTTCCTTATTCATTGGCACTGTGACAAGATTCATATCTCAACAACCCACATGTGTGAATGAATGGAAGCTCTTCTTCAGGGTTAGCCCAATAAGAGTTAAATATTTGGCAACATACTTGGGATGTGACATTCCTGAGATCATAGAAGGTATTGTTTGTGCTTGAGACTGCAAGGTCACCAAGCATGCTATATCCCACCTACTCTAAAACATAAATGAAACAGAATTAAATATTCAGGTTAAATATAGAAAAACTCTGGAGCTTCCACAGAGGGCAGACTTAAATGTTTAAGTCTGGTGTTTAAAGCTGTGTTTAACCCATGTGGAAAACTTGTGCATGTAGGAGTATACAAGTCTACCAGAACTGATAACTGGTATAGCTGTTCCTGTTTCTCAGTATTAAAACTTCAACATCAGCTGTAATACAGTAAGTTCCAAATTCAAATCTTCCTTCAAATGTTTATATGTACTTAGCATATAGGTATATCTTGTTGTTAATATACAAATCCAGACTATTTCATCAGATGTGCCAGATGCAAGCAGCAAAGATCCCAGGACCCACAGGAAATCTTCCAAGGTATTCAGGGTGTTGTGATGAAGTTGCAGCTTTTACAATCAAGGAAATTAATGCATTGATGAGCTTTGCACCAGGCCACTGATTTCTGGAGTAATGCACAATTGGACCGTAGAGCAAAAATGTGCAAAACCCTGAAAGGAAAACAAAAGCATCAGAATCCTAACAATTTACATTTTGACTCTGAGTTTGGAGAACCATTTAATTTAAACCTTTTCCACACCTGTTTCCCCAGCTGAGCCTGAGAAACACACTGACAAGGACAGACTTGTTGTTCACTTGTCACTTAATGATTTTCTTTCCTGAGAAAAATGGCATTGTCTTCAAAAACAGATGCATTTAGAAATTCCTCAGTCCATTAGTCAATAGTTTAGGGAAAAAAGAAATCTAATTTTAAAAGATTGAACAATTCTTTGTGGAAACATCTCTTCCCCACACTTGTTTTAATATAAGGATGACTTACATTTTTTTTCAGCTCTGGCGAAGAAGTCATGTACCATCGATCAGGCCAATAAACCTGCCAAGATCGTTACGAGCCCCTGCACTGTGGGGTCAAATTTCCCCTTTTAGTGACTGGCTGAAGATGTATGCAATCAATACAGGAGCAAACGTATCCTGGGTAACACAGGGGGAGGCACTACCCTGGGGACAGTTTGTCCCAGCAATGCACACCACAGTAGTCCATAACAGGGCCAGGTGCCTCCTCAAATTTATGAACTGTATCTTGACAATCCCTCTACAGGGACAGGAAACTCTTCCAAACACTCCTGGGTGAGACACAAGCTACCTGGAGGATGAGATTTACCCGCAGCAGCTTTTATGTAACCTAAGGGACCGTCAGGGAAATGCATCTCCTAAAAGATGTACAGTCCCCCAGGTGCAGCGTGGAGAGTGAAAGGCAGGAGAGTGAAAAATGTCACACAGGGCTTTGCATAGTGGTCCAGAGGCTTTGGTGAAACAGTGTTGTCTTGGTGCCTTTGTTCAAACCACTGGCTACGTCTGCCTGCACTCTTAGGGACCGGCACATGCATACTACTGTAGGGCTTAGACTTGGGCTGATGATTCCTTTCCTCCTTGTTTGTGGAGACTCCACTCTGCAAAAGCAGCGACAGGAGGGGGAGAGCACTGCATGCCTTTTTTTTTTAAATTTTTTTTTTCTTATCTGCATCCAGTTTAGGTGGTGATGGTGAACATTAGCTCTCTGCTTTCTTGCGAACTCCACGATTCACCTTTTAAATTTAATTATCTTTCTTTACTTTTATCAACACTGGTGGACAACAATTATCCTTCCTGTGGAGGCAAGCTGGTGTCATTGGTGCTTGCTGCTTGTTTCACATCGTGGAGCTCAGGCTGTCCACAGCAGAGCTAGTCACACTTTCCCTGTTTTTTAGTTATAGTAAGAGAGTCTGCACCAGAAGAAGTTCTGTCTTCCTGATTGCTTGAAGAGAAATAATGCAAGTCTGTGCACTACAGGTAGATGTCCAGATGAAACTGCGTTCAGGCTCTGTGGAACATGAATCCATTTGTGCCTGGCAGAGCACGCACAAGAGAGAGAGAGAATTCAGTAGGTTTCTCTTGGCAGCAATCTGCATTTTCTTGTAAATGAGTTAAAATTTGCAAATATGAATCACATATAGTTCAAGGTTTGCTCTCCAGGACAGCTGTATGAGATCAAACCAAAGGCCCAGGCCAGGCCGGCACCTTGTCTCTGGCACCAGCCTGGCATAGACACCCAGGGTCAGAGCGTAAGAGCAGTAGAAGCACTACAGACCCACTTTCCTCGCATTCTCAAAGTCTCCTGAACCAGAGGTAGTGTCTTGTTGAGTTTTGAGGGTTTTTTATTAGTTTTTCTGAAAGATTTTGAAGCCATGCAACCGTTTAGTACCAACACCTTTTGGCAAGGAGCTCCAGTGCTGGGCTGAGCATGGGACAAAACACTCCTCCTTTCACTTTAAAGCTGCCACCTGGGAAGTTCCCATCTTTTATCTGGTTCTGAAACTATTACAGGTAGGGAATAGCCATTCCTTAGTCCCCTTCGTCAATCCCCTTGTGATTTCCATAGATGGCTATTGGCTCTGCTCCACAGCCCTGATTTTTGCAAAGCAAAATCCTTGTTCCTTTTACTTGCTTGCTGAGCAGAGCCTATTCCAACGCTCAGGCTGTCTTTTGGTGCCTTCAGCGTACCTCTTCAGTTCTGCTTTGACTTTTGGGCTGAGGCAGCGGCACATCACATTCGAGATGCACGTGCACGTTTCACCTCCACGCTGACTCCATGCTTCACTGAGGTGCAGCTTTGCGCTTTCATAGTGAGCTGAGTTAGTTACCGTTCACGGATAAATCACTTCAGGAAATTTATCTCTAGCCTTCTTGAGATTGTTTTATTGAGGAAGAAAACCTTCTTTTAGCAGCTGTGGCTGTGCTATCAGTCAGCCTGACTTTGATCGAGCAGAGTCAGCTCAGGTAAGGCTGCCATTTCCCACGGCATTCCCTTCAGTGGAAGATCCAGTTTAACCCACTGCTCCATCTTCCCTTCACCATAGCTTCTCAGTCCCACATCACCTCCTCCCCTGCCTGGTCAGATGCTGCTGTCTCTGAGTCATCTGATTTCTATGGCTCTAGCCTTCAGGGGATCTACTAAATGATCCTGTGACAAAAACTACCAGCACTGTTCATTTTTTGTTTTTTAAACAGATCATCACACCAAACCAGCGTAGAGGAAGGTCGCTCCTTCTCGCATAGCAAGAAGCTCAACGGTATTGCTAACCAGGCACCAGGACCGGAGCTGGAGGGGAGGTGGGAACACGGACCTCTGAAACTGCATCTGGCCAAAAGGCTCCACATGAAACTGCAGCTGCAGTCAGCATGAGTTGATGAACCAGGTCCGTTGACCGTGGAGGAAAATCTCTCCGCACATCCAGTTCTGACCACACGTATTTCATTTCCCTCTGCATCACTGAGCAGAGTGAGAGACTCCCCCACTGGGGCAAGAGAGAGGACAGGGAGAACCAGAGTCAGGACCAGAGCTGGTCTGCTGCCCTGTACAGGCTCAGATACCCAGTTCCCCCCCCTTTGTACAGACAAGTAATCTACAAAAATCAATGAAAAATACTTACACGGGAGCAATCGGTGCTATATATAGACTTCTTTCCTCATTCCCTTCATCAAGTCTCCCTCACCCAGGCGAGCAGCGCCGGTTCCGGCAGCGGAGCGCTCTGGCGCGGTGCGCGGGGGTTCCTGGGGCGGGAAACCTGAGGGGAGCCGGGAGACCCGCCGGCAGCCGGCAGCTCGCGCCACAGCGCCTGAGGAGACCTGGGCGGGGCCGGGAGCGGCGACGGCCGAGCGCCCCGGGGAGCGCCCGGGCGGGGCGGGCCAACGGCGCGGCAAAGGTGCTGTAGCTCCGCCGGCCCGGCCAGGCAGCCACGGCATCCACCCGGCAGAAGGCCGTGTCCGCTCTAAACTCTGCGCCCGCCGCGACTGACGCAGCTTCCCAGGGAGAGCTCCGGTGGGAACACGCTGCTACCCAGGTGTCAGGCTGCAGGCTGCGCCCTGCTCTTATGCAGGGAGCACACCTGTGGGAGGTGGGCCCGGGGAGAGGAACTCCTCCGCTCAGTGACAGAGCTCAGGGGGGAGGTGAGGAGGTTGAGGTGCATCGGGGAGTGCGAGAGGGAGAGACTACTGGAATCGCAGCCTACCTTCCCTGGGACAGGCCCGTCAGGCAGACTGGACACACGGTACAGCGGATTGCCTATCCTCTCCCCACCTGCCAGAACACGGTGACCCAAGGGATAGGGGGCAATGGCGACAAGTTCCTGCCCGCGCAGCAGGCGCGTCTCCTCTGTGACCACCCCACCTTCCCAGGTGTGCTTGCACAATAGGTGTGAGGCTCTGCGAGTAGAACTGGACAATGATACGGATGGTGGTTCATCTAGGTTGGCGGTGTCACCAAGGTTAAGTCAGCCTACAACCTGCGCCAAAACTGCTTCTGTAAAGAAAAAAAAAAAAAAGGTGGGTCATTGTCGGAGGAGACTCTTCTGAGGGGAACGAAAGGCCTGATACGCAGACCAGACCCTGTTCTTAGGGAAGTCTGCTGCCTCCCTGGAGCCTGGGTTAGAGATGTGGAGAGAAAGCTTCCTACCCTGGTACGGGCCTCGGATTATTATCCGTTATTGATTTTTCGTGTAGGCAGCAATGAAGTTGCAATAAGTCCAAGGACAATCAAGAGAGACTTCAGGGCCTCCGGACAACTGTTTAAGGGCTCAGGAGCACAAGTAGTGTTCTCTTCTATCGTTCCAGTTGCAGGGAATGATGAGGGAAGAAAGAGGAAGACCCAGCAGATCAATACCTGGCCGTGAGACTGGTGTCACTGGCAGAATTTTGAGTTTTTTGATCATGGGTTGGCCTATACAACACTAGGCCTGCTAGTGACAGGTGGGGTACGCCTGTCTCAAATGGAGAAAAGGATCTTTGTGCAGCAGTTAGCAGAGCTCACTGAAAGAGCTTTAAACTGGATTTGAAGGAGGAAAAGGATAAAACCAGGCTCGCTAGAGATAAGACTGGGGGCAGCATGGCAGCATTTGAGGAATGGTGTGCTAGCATCAGCCTGCTCCATGATGTGCTAAGTACACTGGAGCACACTTGGAATGTCTTTATACTAATGTACACAGCATGAGGAATAAACAAGAGGACATAGAAGCTTTGGCCCGATCCCAGAGCTATGACATCATTGGCATATGTGAAACCTGGTGGGATGAGTCCTGTGACTGGGGTCCTGTGATGGACAGCGTCTTCAGGAGAAATAGGCAGGGCAGGGGAGGTGGTGCTGTATGTAAGGGAGGGGTTGGATTGTATGACACAGTTGGTGATGGCACAGTTGAGAGCCTCTGGGGAAGGATGAAGGGGAAAGCAAATAAAGTGGATGTTGTTGTGGCAGTACTGTCAACCACCCAGCCAGGACAATGACACCAATTAATTATTCTACAAAGAATTGAGAAATATCTCTGGATCAACTGCCCTTGTCCTTATGGGTGATTTTAACTTCCCAGACATCACCTGGAAGGATCATACAGTGGACACAAAGAGGTCCAGGAAATTTCTGAAGCATGTTGAAGATAACTTCTTGGTGCAGGTACTAAGGGAGCTGACTAGGAAAGGTGCCCTGCTAGATTTGTTGTTTGTAAACAGAGAGGGACTTGTGGGCAAAGTGGTGATTGGTGGCTGTCTTGGTCACAGTGACCACAAAGTAGTTGAGTTTCAAATCATTGGTGATAGGAGAAAGACTGCCAGCAAAACTTTAACCCTGGGTATGGGGAGAGCAGATTTTGGGCTGCTGAAGGAGTTAGTTAGTAAGGTCTCCTAGGAATCTGCTTTTAAAGGTATTGGGGTCCATGAATCCTGGTCACTTTTTAAGAGCCATCTCTTAAGAGCACAGGAGCAGGCAATTCCCAAGTATTGGAAGTCAAGCAAGCAGGGCAGAAGACCAGCCTGGCTGAGCAGGGATCTTCTTCTAGAACTTAGGTGGAAAAGGAAAGTGTATGGACAGTGGAAGCAAGGACAGGTAACATGGGAGGACTGCAGAGATGCTGTCTGCCACTGTAGGGAGAAAATTAGTGTGGCCAAAGCTCGATTAGACTTCAAGCTGGTCAGCACTCTGAAGGACAACAAAAAGAGCTTTTTTCTAAATATGTTAATAGCAAAAGGAGAATCAGAGGTACATTGGTCTGTTGCTTGATGAGGTCGGTCACCTCAGAAATAGGGACATAGATGAAGCAGAGATGTTTAATGCCCTCTTCACCTCTGTCTTCAACACTGATGATGGGCACTGGGACCCCCAGAGCCCTGTGTTGGAAGACCTTGACTGGGGAGATGATAAACTCCCAGCTGACCCTTAACTTCTTTGAGACTTGCTGCTCCCGCTGGATGTGCATAAATCTATGGGGCCCAATAGTATTCAACCGAGGGTACTGAAAGAGCTGGCCAATGTCATCGTGGGACCTCTCTCCATTATTTTTCAATGGTCCTGGGAGGCTGGAGAGGTCCCACTCAACTGGAAGCTGGCAAATATTGTTCCACTTTTCAAGGAGGGTGACAAGGAAGACCCTGGTGATTACAGGCCTGTCAGTCTCATTTCAGCACATGGTAAAATTATGGAGAAGTTTATTCTGGGAGTTACTGAAAAAAACACTTGAGAGACAATGCAGTCATTGGTCATAGCCAGCACAGGTTCATGAGGGGAAAGTCCTGCTTAACCAAACTAATTTCTGTTTATGACAAGGACACCCATCTAATTGACCAAGGGAAGCCAGTAATGTGGTCATTTGGGATTTTAGCAAAGCTTTTGATACTGTCTCTCACAATATCCTTCTGGATACACTGTCCAGCACACTGCTAGATAAGTCCATAATGCATTGGGTGAGCACTTGGCTGACAGGTCAGGCTCAAAGGGTTATAGTAAATGGGGTTACATCAGGCTGGCGGCCAGTCACCAGAGAGGCTCCCCAGGGCTCAATTTTAGGGCCAGATGATTTTATAAATGTTTTTATAAAACTTTAATGTTTTCATAAATGATCTGGACACAGGAATCAAATGTACATTAAATAAGTTTGCTGACAATACTAAACTGGGAGGAGCTATGGACTCCCTCGAGGGTAGAAGGGCCTTACAGAGAGATCTGGATAGACTGGAGAGCTGGGCAGTCACCAATGGTATGAAATTTAACAAGAGCAAGAGCCGGATTCACCACCTGGGACAGAGTAATCCTGGTTATACATGCAAATTAGGGGACGAGAGGCTGGAGAGCAGCCCTGCAGAAAGAGGTCTGGGGGTTTGGGTTGATGGCAAGTTAAATATGAGTCAACAGTGTGCCCTGGCAGCCAAAAGGGCCAACTGTGTCCTGGGTGCATCAAGCACAGCATAGCTAGCTGGTCGAGGGAGGCCATTGTCCCACTCTACATAGCACTGGTGCAGCCCCACCTCAAGTACTGTGCAGTTTTGGGTGCCTCCCTCCAAGAAGGACATCAAACTATTAGAGGGTGTCCAGAGGAGGGGGACCAAGATGGTGAAAGGCCTCGAGGGCAAGACTTCTGAGGAGCGGCTGAGGTCACTTGGTTTGTTCAGCTTGGAGAAGAGAAGGCTGAGGGGTGACCTCATCGCAGTTGACACCTTCCTCAAGGAGGGCAGCAGAACGGGAGCTGCTGATCTCCTCTGTCTGGTGACCAGCAATAGGACACGAGGAAATGGACGGAAGCTGTGTCAGGTGAAGTTCAGATTGGACATTAGGAAAATGTTCATCACTGAGAGGGCAATCGGTCACTGGAATAGTCTCCCAGGGCAGTGGTCATGGCACCAAGCCTGTTCAGAATTCAAGGAGGGTCTGGATGATGCTCTTAGTCATATGGATTAGTTTCAGGTCGTCCTGTAAGTTGGACTTGATGATCCTTATGGGTCCCTTCAAAGTTCAGATATACTATGATTTTAAGTGCTATTTACATACAGCCCATAGATTTCAGTTCATTTCTTCCCCTCCCCTATATCGTCTACCCAACAGGCTAATCTACACAGAGGATCTGGAGCCTTCCTGGGACTCACAGGAACCTGAGATTAGATATTGGCTCCCCAAATCCCCTTCAGGGATGGCCAAATGCTAACTTTTAAAAAATAACTAACATCATTAGGGTAACATGGTTTTTTCTTTAGAGGGTCCTGCCAGCATTTGCCTTATTTGCATCACAGCGCTACATTGGAAAAGATTTTTTGTCATCCTTCAGACAGTTGTAACAATAATTTCCTCATTCCAAATCAAGAAGTCAAAAAGTCCACTTCCCCCTCACCTCCCTTCCAAAGCAGCTCAGACCGAGAAAATAATTTTCTAAATTTCAAGAGGTGTTTCTTAAACTGCAATATTTTTCTTCTTCAGTACGTGGTAGTCTGTATTTACTAACCTTCCAAAAGAAAGACCATTTGGACGAAAAAGCAAACGTCACCAAAATCACTGAAACCAGGTTCTTCCAACAATGTAAACCCTTTTGCCCCAGTAACTTCTTTGGGGCCAGCAGACATTAATTTGTTTCAAGACCGGTTTCAATTTGAACGTTCCGGGATCTTCTGCTGCACCAGCCTTTGTGGAGCATTCCCAACCCCTTCAGAAGGTGACTCACAGGAAATATGTGATTTTGCCCTCAGCAGATGGGCTATGCAATCACCTCCTCACTCCTGTGCAGCTCCCCAGCAAGTCAGCTCTGCTCACACCCTGGTACCTCTCGCTTCTCCTTCATCCCTCTCCAAACAGCCGCGCTACGACAGCGTGGCAGATGCACCATCCCTCGGAGCCAGACTGCGGTGCCACGGTGCCCGCATCAAACAAGCCACGGCCATGGACCTGAAGCCAAGCAATGACACAAAGCCCTGCCATAGGTCCACAAAATGATGGACAATTAGATTTAGAGCTGAAACAAGAAAATAAAGCCTTCACTTACAAACACGCATGCTGCTTCTGGGTCTGTGCTGCTGCTTCCTACAAAAAACTAAACAACAAAGCCAGGAAGGGGACACCTCAGCAGGGCCACATCACCCACAGGCATGGAGAACGAGAACAGCGCGAGGCTCAGGAGAGCTCTGGGGACTTGGGAGTGGGGGTGCACAAAGTGTCACGGAATTGCGACGTGGGGCTGGAAAGGTCCACTGACTGGGAGAACCGGTCTGCCGAGATGACCCGTGGTCAACTCCAGCCTGCAGAGGCCAGAGTGGCTTTCACAGGGCAGCTGTATTGCTACCGTGAGGCTCGGCTTGAAGCCGCGCAGGAGTTCAACGGGAGCACCAGCTCTCTTCTTCACACATCTGGGTCTGGATAAAAAAGACCTTTCGATAGGGCCAGTCTGATTCAAAGCTCCGACACCGTTCAACAGCCGCCAGCCAGGCGGGAGCGAGTGCCAAATGACTCAGCTTCACGGCCGCTGCTTTACAATGCAGTCTCCAGGGCCACGGAGCAGCGAGCAGCGAGCGAGCGGGCCAGCATCGCGGGCAGAGCCGGGCTGGGCCGGGGGCTTGTGCCGACCCCTCGCAGGCCCCCGCTCCCCGGGTGCTGGGAGCGCAGCAGAAGACACGGGCGCACGCTGCTCTCTGCTGGTCAGCGCACCGCCACGCAGCCCCGGCTGGAAAATGTCCTCTTGCAAACAGATGACGGGGTAGAAATGACATTAAAGACTTCTTCCTTTTTAAATCTGACATCACGCCTATGAACAGCCTCTGCAAAAGAAATAACTTTGGGGTTTTACATTTGCTTTCATAAGCTCGGCCCCTAACTAATGGCTTTACATACCTATACAAACGCCAGTCGAAATACCGCTTTTAAAGTGTT